CCTTGCAACCTTTTTTGCCAAGAAGGAGACCAACAGGGTTTAAACAAACCTTCAGAAAGAAACATTGCTTTTGTATATATTTTATTATTTTCTTTATCATGGCCACGTTTTTGGTTCCTGTGCCTGCCTGCACAGTGTGGCAGCCCTTACATCAGCCCAGTTGTTAAATTGTGCTGCATCACACTCCAGCGGTTGCCGGTGCAGGAGCAAATGAATATTTAGCATTGTCAGTATTTGCCCTGATGCAGCCCCGAGCATATGGATTTGATGCTAGCTGGGGAAAATCACTGAATAAATGAAACCAGGAGACTCCTGAGCTGCAATCCTGCCCTGCCAGACCCAGCCCCTCTGGCCACCTGGTCCCACTGGGCCAGCCTGACAGGGATAGCACCCAAGCTCTCCCCTGAATAAAATAAAGACACCCAAGACTTGAATCTTTACCTTTTTTAATCAAAAACATACTCTGTTACAGAATTTCAGGAAAGTTAACTACAGTGTATTATCCACAAACTAGGTCTAATGAAAAACATACAGTAAGCTACAATGGAACTACTGAGAAGTCTGTTGACCGCTTATTCAAAAGACAATGGCTAAAAGAACAAATTTTTAACCTAGGCTTTCATGCTCAAACCATCCTCTCAGAGGGCCTTTTGGGCTGCATGTACTTTGCAGCTCTCCATCTAGCTGAACCACAACATAGCAGAGCTACAAACTTCACGAGAAAGACAAAGAAAAATGTAGGAGGAGCAAGAAAGCACTAGATTTGATTTTTGGTGGCGACCTCTGAAGAATTATTCCTGTAAATTTAGGAGTGATGCATGACTCGCCCACAAGGCACAACAGCAGGCAACATAGCCAAAAATCTCTTGAGATTTTTTAGCCAACAGATCATTTCCGGAAACGTTATTGTCAGGAGCAGCTTTTTGGAGCTGGATGACTGGATGAGAGGGCATGGGCAGCACCCAACCAGCTGGTAGAGAAGTGCTCTTCATTGGCCCCATCCTCAATGGTTTCCTTGGGCAGTGACCAAGTGCTGGCCATCCACTGCAGCGATGGCAGGAACCAGCTCGGTGCTCTAGATGACAAATGCCACATGTGAGACAACCTGCAAGTAAAAGTCCCAGAGAAAGAGCCATGGTCCTTGCAGAAATGTTGCCAGACACGGAAAGACAGCACGGTTACCAGCAGGACCAGGCAAGACTTGCTTTTCATGGATATTTTTCAACTCTTCAAAAGAATAAAGTAACCTCTCAATAATTTTATGTCCTTATCAATTCCTGTCAACAAAAAAGCATCTTATAACTTCACAGAACAGATGTTAAGTCAAGTGGGGCCTGAAAGGAGAAGAGCAGGGGGGAAGGGAAGAAAGAGGATTTCTTAAATACGGTCTGAATCCCGCTCAGAGGAAGCTCCATCTGGCTGCCCTGAACAGGTTGCATCAATGCAGGTGCCATCCCAGTTACCCCAAGCAGAGCAAGACTGTTAAGGGAGACAGTCCCTTCTGCAGCACTTACTCTATGAAGGAGGAGAGATTAAAGATGTCCCAAAAGAGACCCCATCAAGACACAAACAACATTGAGGGGCTCAGAGGCAGAAGACACCCCCTTATTTACTCTAGCACAGGGATTTTAATGGTTCCTAACGAGACGAGCGAGGCAGCCATTGCTGAGCTCTGCAGGGAAAGCCATCATCTTCGGAAGTGCCGCAAGAAAGATGGTCGTAGAGGTAAGGCACAAGGTTGGACACATGGTCAATAACTACTGCTGCTATATAGCCCTGCTTGGTGCTCTCCCTACGTCAGCCTCTCTCAGTTAAAGCAGCCAGAATAATTCTCAAGTTATCAGCAGATTTCAGAGCCCTTAATCAATGATTTGTGTTGCACTCAGGGGGTGTAGGTCCCTTCTTCCAAGTGCAGAAAAGTCATGTAAGGAATGAACCCAGCAACTGTTTCTCAACCGCACTGCTTTGCCATCATATCACCCTGCAACATATCACTGTTGCGCAGCACTGCATTTGAAAGCTTTTTAAACCACTCCCCTGTAAAGGTTGATACTACATCTCTATTATGCTATTTGAAGTGTAATTCCCACAAACTACCCCCCTCACAGCTAAAGTCACCTACCCTTCCGGTGCAAATCCCTGGCGCCAAGACCACAGGGTGAATGCAGAGCATCCTAGCATGGTGCTGTCCAAGAAATGCAGAAGTTCAGGCATGAAAAGCACACCCAGCCCATGGTACCCACTTCACAGAGAGAGCCAAGGGCACGAGACCAGAAGCACAGGCAGGATTTTGCTGGTGAACAAACATTTGTTCAGGAACGGGAAGAGAGAGAGAGGGTTCTGGCACTCCTGACCCACCTGCCTGCAGTGGGAACGGAATTGTCATAGCTGTCAAAACAAGCAGCTCTTTCTTGGATTTCAGGGAAGAGCTGCGAACAGGAGCCTGTCAGCGACTCCGTGTGCTGCTGCTCAAGGGTTTCCAAGGCATTGCGCAACTGCTTCATCGTATAAAAGCGCAAAACTTAAAGGCATATTAAAAATTAAGGACAAAACATGAACATCCTGGTCTTTAGCAGTTATGAATGAATCTGATTGCTGACTGCACAGTAGGTAAAATAAATGGCATTTCTTTATTTTTACTGCCTCACAATTCAGATTTCTTCCTATCCAGAAATTTGTGATTTTTTTGGTTCTGAGAAAAGTCTTCGACATTCTGTTTTGTTGTTCTGACTTTTTCCTTTGGACTGCATAGGGTGCTGTAAGTACCATTCACTGGAGATGGAGCTTAACCCTTGCAAAATCTCCATAAAAACAGTCTCATCACCTGAACGATTTCCAAACTCCAACACAGGCAAGAACACCATCAGGTGGCAGGAATCTTTCACTATTCTATCAAAGTTTGGCAGAATAAAAACATAAGCAAAAAAGAGGAGGATTGCTGTGAAGTAGTCCATATCCGCCCCATCAAATAACTGAAAAAAAAGATATCCCTAGGACACACATTTATTGAGAAGCAGTGATAGAAAGAAAAGCTGGAATCGCTTCCTGGCAAATTTAAACCTGACCACTCTTGGCTGCTACTGCCACCCTTTCAAAGGGAGGAATCCATCACTCTAGATCAATGGTTTCAAGGTGCAGAATTATGTAACAAAAGCAAGCTAAGTTTATAGAAATCAGGGTTTACATAATTTTATTTATACTATTAACTAGAGAGAAAGCATACATATTGTAGCTGTCATACAGTCAGTACATCTGCAGTTTTTTTCTACTATAAAATCTCTATACAAAGTCATTGCCAATTGATACAGTCTTTGATGGCATAGAGCTTAAAATAACCAAGAGGTATAAAAACAAGTTTGCCATCTTGCCCTGAGTGGAAATGGTGAACAGATACAAAAACTGGATCCTAAGTATTGATACATGATTTAATGGTATATGCAAGTAAAGAGTCATGCAACTTTTTAAAATACCTTCCAAGTTTTACTTGAATAAGATCATAGAAGTCAGTAGTAATTATGAAAATATCTTCCTGCCATTAGGTATTCGTTAAGCAATTTAAGTGGCAACTTTGCAGACTGGGTATTTCTTGTTATATTTAAACTGAGTGCCAGCACTGAAAGTATCCCATTCGTTTTAGTGTTTCAAAACTCACGTGTCTATATAAATAAAAATCTAAGATATCCTTTTAAAAACTAGCGAAGGAAAAGCAACTTTCTTTTCCTTTTTATTTCTCATCATTGCCAAACAATGTATGTCTCATCCCTCTTTTTTGGCAACTTCTACCTTTTAATCTGGAAAAAATCATAACAAGACGGTCAACAAAATGAAGTCTTCTGTTAACTCTTGTTCTCCAAAAAGAACATCAGTTGAAATTTAAAAGTTGCTATAAGGTAAGTGTTTATAACTATTAGAAGGAATTTTCAGATATAAATATATATATATAATATATATTCTGCATACAAAAGGCTCCTGTGAGGCTTAGCATCAAGTTGCCATGATAGAGAGGAAAAGCTTCAAAGGGAACAAATCCAGTACTGTGAAGTCTCTATAAGGCATTCGCCCTTTACTTTAAGCCCTGAGCCATATATTATGACAGTTAATTTCTGAAAATAACCAAAATCCAACTTCTGCATGTTCAATTACTTTCTGCTAAGAGCAAGGTGGCAAACACATTTTTAAAACCTGGTTTTAGAAGATTAAGCAGAACAAAGGTAAAATATATCTTTAGGTTATAAACAGAATTGTATTTTACAATCCACCATCTTCACAATATAATGGCCCACAGCAATGCAGCAGAGGGATCTCAGTCTAAAGGTTGTGGGTCTGCAATCGGCATGGTGTGGAGAACTTCATCGAGAAGCTGCAGGGCCCGGTGCAAGTGGATTTCAATCCAGCAGGGTGTCTCTTTGATGCTCTGCCTTGGGTAATCAGGTCCCCAACCTTTTACAAAACTCATCCTGAGAATGCACAAGCGTCGAAGGTCATCTACACCAATTCCAGCAGCAGCTGACAAACCTGAACAGGAGAGGTTTCCAGTAAATGCTCACACACGCTCTGTTACCCCCTGCTTGTTTAGCCATCCCATTTGCTTAGCTGTTCCTCCACATGCAGTTCTCTCTCATCACAGCCAAGGCCAATCAATATTTCCAGATCACTGCTATAACTGCAACAATTTCACATTTCTTCCCATTAAACTTTCTTTTTTATCATTCTGTAGTCTTTTAAAGTGCTTTAAATTGCAAAAGCTCCTCATAATGAAAGTAGTTGTATGATGAAACCTAACGTTTTATGTGACACACTATGCTTAAATCTCATTTAACAAATCCAATCAAAAACACTTATTCTTGAAGTTTGTCGAATACTGTGCTTTTAACATAAGGATTTCAGCATAAGATCAGCCACAGGGAGCCGAATTTAAAAAATAATTACACTAGTCACTCTGGTAAAACAAAAAAGGATGAAAACAACAAGCAAGCTTCTAATCATAAGTATGGCTAAAACAAGAATTAAACACTTCCACCAAAATGCTTTCAACATTTTTTAAAGACAGCTGGAAAGATACACTGAGCAATAAAAGGAACACAGGAAACACTATGGAGCCTGAAGCAGTCTGACACAAATACTCGCAATTTTAAGAGTATTCAGAGAAAATTTTAAGGATCTAGAATTTATCAACCAGTAAAATTCTAGCTCAGAATAATTTAAAAACAGAAAGAGGAAAAAACACCCTCATACCCCCTCCTCCTCATCTTCTCAGGAACCTTAATAAGAAGTTTCTTAAAATTGAATACGGGACTTGGTGGCCTGGTCCTCCCCACTGCTTTTAGTAGTATATTTATAAGCTTAGCTCTCAAATATCATTTTTCAAACTTGGATCTGCTTAAGCAGCAGAAAACCTCTCTCCCTTTGAAACAATACAATTGTGCTGTTTGACCTTGTATGGTCAGAGCCCTGGAACAGGCTGCCCCGAGAGGCTGTGGAGTCTCCTTCTCTGGAGATCTTCCAAACCCGCCTGGACACCACCCTGTGTCCTGTGCTCTAGGTGTCCCTGCTGGAGCAGGGGGGTTGCACTAGATGATCTCTAGAGGTCCCTTCCAACCTCAACTGTTCTGGGATTCTGTAACATACCCTGCAACACTCCTCACAGAACAAGCAGCCACTTCCATACTCAGTATTCCCCAAGGACCACAGCAAGAAAATGAAGGACAAGGCAAGTACAAAGGGAACAAATATGGACTTAAATACCACTTCAGCCCCACTCTGCCCAAATCCAGCCCCTCGTTCTATGTTTGTACTGCTGCAGGAAGCAGGCAAGAGTGTGTTAAAAGGGAGAACAGGATTATTTGCTTTCAAAGAAAAATGGAAGATTGAAGTTGATGTACTTACTAATGGCTGGGGCTATTCCACCTACTGATCCTGGTCCAGGGATGTTTCCTGCTACTGCTGCAGCCTGAGCAGCAGCAGCAGCTTGGGCAGTGGCAGCCTGTTGTTGCATCTGACGGTGACACTGTCGTAAATCAAAAACCTTCAAAATATAAATATATTGTGTCATGTAGATTTACCAATAAAGGAGAGAATTCCTCAACCTCCATCCCCTATTGCCTGGACTGTTCTGCCCTCCCAAAGCAAATTCCAGATTCACCCCTCACTTGGGCAAGAGCAAACTTCTTGGCTAGTTTAATTTCTGACCGAAACAATTCGCTGAAGTGATTTCTTACAGACTCTTATCTGATGTAAGCACCACTGGCTACACCAAAACACCATCATTGAAAATGGCCCAAGATGCGCAGGCTCAAGCAGGATTCTATGTGGAATTGACTGCAGGATCAAAATGCTACAGGCTGATGAAATCCAGGTAGTTTTATTTTATTTTTATAGATTATTTAGTTAAATCCTAACATTCCCAGCAGCTAGGCATATGAGTAAAAAGAGAAGCCAGCAAGCCCACCTTGACTTCGTCATTGCTTTACTGAAGCAAAATAGCAGATTTAAAAGAAATACAAACAACATATTGTTGCAGTTACAATAGCTAAGTTTCAGCATGCAGACATTTTATGTTTTTGTTGTCAGGGTGGGCACTAATATCAAAAACTCTGTTCTCATATTAGAAAGCTTTCATTAGAAAGAGACTCGTGGTATTTCTTTCACCTTCATTATACAACCTGCCTGCAAAAACTGAAGTTAAAGGAAATACTGAAGAAGGGAATACAAAAAAAACCCAAGTCACTGCAAATTTCATTTCAAACAGTTACAAGTTACAAAACAGTTACAAAATTACAAGTTTGGCAGAGGCCTACCTAGTTAAGAATCCTCCCAGAAGTATTTGCTTCCAGGCAGCTCTCTGACTTCTGGCTCATTAGTTAGATATTTTCATGTTGGTAACACTTTAAATGCACACTTAACCACCTTTAAGTTGCATTTATGCATACTTTTGTTCTAAATTTTCTTGTTTTGGAGAGAAAGTGAAGAAACAGATAATCCATGCCCAAATTTTGTGGTAGCTCGTTTAAAATCATAGAGTTAAAAATGTAAAAATACAAAGAGTTATTTTGTAAAGAGTTTTGTAAACTCTTTGTAAAGAGTTTATGTGCCAAAAGAAATATATTTAAAAAAAAAAAAAAAAAAAAAAACCAGCAATGATCAAAGACGAAATTACTTGTGTTGGTAGAGAAGATTGAGACCAAAATAAACGCATTTACAAGAAACAAGCGTGTGCTGTTTTCCCCCAAATATTCCTCCGAGAGCATCAGACCAACCTTGATATATGCACTTGGGTAAATCTTGTGAACAGCATCGCCTGGTGCCCGCCCTGCTTCTCTATCCAGGTAGTAGCTCTGGACAAAGACTGCGTGGTCACTTAGGCACCTCACCCACACGTCACCTTCTCCTTTGCACTCCAGCTGCACTCCTTTACCTATGTGCAACCTTAAAAAGGAACACAGCTTCAGTGTACTTGTGTTTAGGCACTCTAAGTTAGATCCTTACTAAATAAACCACAGAACAATTCTCCAGCTCAGCAGCCTGTGATACCACAGTTTACATTCAGAAACACTTTGCTTATAGGAGGAGCTGAAATCAGAATATCTTAATATAGTATGCAATTATAAAAAAAATCTGTGAAGTCAAGAACCCACCTGCAATACCACATAAAACATACAGGAAACACAGAATGCTGAAGCAACAATGCTCAAGTAGTAACTAAAATAGTTGTAAACATGTTCACTACCACCACAGAGCCAGGATACCAAACACACATTTGGGGTGCTATTCAGAAGTGTAAAATCCCACAAGCCTTCTAATATAGGAAGCCATTGAAGTACAGGTAAAGTCAGATTTTAATGCAGAACTGTATATTTTTTTTAAGATCACATTACAGAAGTCTAGCATTTTGATGCTACAATGCAGCTTTGATGTTCCCACTGCAATGGTTTTGAAGACAGGGAATCTCTTGATTCCTTCTCATTTCAAAGAAAAAAGGAAGAAGTTGCAAGATCACTTGGGTTCTCTGTGTTTCAGAGAACATGCACAGTAAGCAGCAGCAAAAATCCAGCTAGCTTTCTCTAGCAGCCTTCATTTGCCACTTTGTCAAATTTATATATTGCATTTATTCTCACATTACTTCATCTGTGGTGCAGAGCTAGTGCTCAGCTTGCATACATAATGGCACGAGTTGGTAATTTTATCCTCAAAGGCACTGTTTTGAAAGCAACAAAAGGCAGTGTGCTGCTGCAAAGCACTAAAGGTCTCTGTCACACAGCTCACGTTTTGAACGCATTAAGGTAGTGACCCGGAAATACATATTCTGCTATAGCTAATTCAGCTCCACAGTACATACCACACTGGCAATTTCAAAAGGGATACCCAGCAGAAAATATTACCAAGCACAACAGACAACTGAAGCTTTTGGTAACTGTAAAATACCTCGCTCGCTCAATGGCTTCTGTTCTGTGCACATTGGAAAGCTGGCCCAGGCAAAAACGGTCTCCTCCAGACGGATCCACGTATCCATCAACAGTAACAATTGGACAGCTTGAAGGAACCTTAAATGTTTCCCCAACTTGCACATCCATTTCAAAGTATGCGATTGAACACCAATATTCTGGAGCTAAAGATGATAAACAATTAACAGACTGAAACATATGCAAAAAAATCCCTACAAACCCATTAGGGACAATCAATTAGGCCTTCTGTAGCTGCACTCTCTTTCAGACTGGGAGTGCACATGCCCATAAGCAAGGTTAGATGGACAAAGACATTAAGTAGTAGAGAAAATACTATATGCTGCAAAGACCACAGGCTTGCAGGTTTTATTTGATCACATACCAATGCCACTATCTTGCATATCAAATGTGTTTTCTGCCTATAGCTAAAAAGATCTCACAAATCTTTGTACAATTTATACCTCTGGTTGGATATGGTAAGCCATCTGCACCCCAGTGCCTTATGGCTGTGGTTTGGTTTTGGACTCCTCTAGCACAAAGGAACGTACATATGGCTGTCCAGAGCTAGGCTGGTAGAAATTAACCCTCAAAGAGATCTTGCTTGAGATATAAAAGTAACTACCTCCTAAGTAAAGTCAGTTTTGTGTCTGCTCTGCAAGGACAATGGGTTTGGAAAAAAGGACAGAGGGGAAAATCATCTCAAAGATCAGATTCAGATACTGATCTTCCCAGAAAACAAGGCAGGCAGAAGAAAATCAGTATTAAGCAAGGGAGAGGAACAAAATGACATGTTAAAAAAAAAAAAAAAAAAAAAAAAAAAAAAAAAAAGGTCTTTTTAACTCATACTAGCTTATAAAGAAAAACAAGATGGAAGAAGCTGCCATGTGGAGATGGGGAACCCTGGTTCCTTAGAGGATGCTACTGAAACCCAAATGCTCAAGTAAGGAAACTTGACAGCACAACATGATACTCTGTATGTGTATTTGCTGCTTTGGGGCTAGCTGAGAGCAACTGGCTCTTCAAATTCTCTGCAATACCTGATGCGAGCACTTCAAGCGTTAGAGTTTCTCTTTTCAGACACATAAATCCACACATTTCCAGAAGCTTAAGTTACTGGGGATTTCAGAGATTTACAACACCTTTATGGACCTTTTCCACAACAGGATAACAGCCCAGCTTGTTGAAGAGGGCAAAGAAAATTATCAACAGCATGAATTCAATTTAGGGGAAGCTGAAGTGACAAGACCTAAACAACAGCCTGGTAAGCAGCCAGAAAAGACAGTTCTCTCCCTGCCATTCACAAACTCCTGGCTCCATGATGCTTCTAAGCAGGCACAGAAGCACAGGTTCGGTACCTAGCAAATGTCAATATCCAACCACTAGCTACAGAGTCCAGAAATCTTCAGGATTAGATGGCAGCTCAGTGTGGGTTTGAGGATTGTTTTTGTGATTTGATTTAGGAACCTAAATTAAGCTCAGTTCACACCACTTTAGAGGTCCAAAGAGCAGAGGTCCAAAATCAAAAGGAGACTCATCACAAAAGGGTTCATTCTTCCTCTCCTCCCATTGGGAAAACACACCCCACAAATTTCAGAGTACTTGCTATAAGAAATGAGACTCAAAACAAAGTTATTAGTTTACAGGATATGTAGCACACCATTTCACTTACCAGGATGATTTGATATAGGAGGCTGGAATGCAAGTTCATTGTGAACTGGCCCTTTAAAAGAAAGCAAGCAATTTATTTTACATGAGGAAAAGTATTTTCTTTATTTATCCTGCTTTCCTATGGAAACAAGGCTTGTGAGAAGATGCCAGAGATTCAGAAATTTGGGAGATTTAAACCTGGCAGAGGAGATGAGCATCCAGAGAAGAACTGCACTCTTGCAGGCTTCCTGAAAATTTAGAAATTGTATAGAGCAAGAAGCTCAATTGGAACCCCATGAGGAAAGGCTGCAGTATAAGCATAAGTTATCTGTGCTGCTCAAGCCAAAACCAGTTCAAGGAGATAGCAGAAACTAGGTATATTGTAAAGTTGTAACAGAAATAGCTTCACTATTCACAGAAGAGGTTGTCCAGGATGCTGTGGACTTCAAAAAAAATCACAGAGTGGTTGAGGTTGGAAGGGATCTCTGGAGGGAGCTCCAATCCCCCTGCTCAAGCAGGGTTGCCTAGACACATTGCCCAGGACCATGTTCAGATGGGTTTCAAGGATTTCCAAGGATGGAGACTCCACAACCTCTTTGTGCCTTCAACCTGTCCCAGTGCTCTGCCACCCTTGTTTTTTCCTCGTGGTCAGATGGAGCTTTCTGTGTTTCGATTTGTGCCCCTCGACTCTCATCCTATCACTGGAAACCACTGAGAAAAGCCTGGCTCCATCCTCTTCACACCCTCCCTGGCTTGACTATAAACATCTTCTAAAGAGTGGTAGTGGGGGGAGGGGGGGGGGAAGGTGACAGAAAAAGCCCTAGTGAACAAGTTTTCTAAAGAAAAAAAGATACTGAATATGGTCTTGGTAAAGGTCAGTTTAGATGTCAAAACAGGCACAATGTTGGTAGGTTTCAAAAGATGAGACTATCTGAAGTAAAAAGATGCAGCAGCGAAGAAAAGCACTAATGTGGTGTTACCATTCAGCTACAAATATTGATTATGGAAAGATACATGCACCAAAAGACATTATAGAGTATCTACAGCACCAGTGCAGTTGTTCAATCCTGGTATTTCTGACAAGTTAGATGAGAAGGGGGATCCTAATAGAACAGAACAATTAAATTTAATAACCAGATCTAAACCACATTTTTTCTTCATAAAGACAGATTGGAGAGTCATTCTAACATTATCTCACATTATATTCCCCCCTCGACTAGCCCAAGAACAATGACTGCCACACACAAATTAACTGGTTAAGGACTATATTAGGAGAATCAAAACTATTCCAGCTTTTTGTCATTTCTGAATACCAAAATTAAGAAAAAATTTTTTTTTTTTTTTTCCCCCCCCACTGCTCTCAAACACACATACTCTGCTAGGCACTTAAGAGCAGAAATTTGGTAATTTTTTTTTCTTCCCCAACGCCTGTACCATAACAGGAGAGGTTATGCTCTTATTTCATAGCCCAGAGAGATGTTCAAGCTTGTGTGCCAAATGCACTCATGAATCAGGCTGTCGCAAGACCATTCTGCTGACAAACATTTACTGCATAAGCTTTTGAAAACTTCTTCTAAACTGACTTATACGCACGGACAAACATGTCCTCCAAAGTTTAGAGTACTCTATCGTTAAGACGAGATGAAACTTCAAAACTTCTAGAGAATAAAAATAGCAACCTCAAGACTTAAAAGGAAAAAAAGATCCAAACAACACATTCTGCATCAACTTTTAAGCAAATGATCTAAAGATCCAAAGTAGTACTTATTTCAAAATTACAGAGGCTTTTAAACTAGAAGTTTAAAAAGGAAACACAATTTTAGTTACGTAAAAAACAGCTGCAGTATAGATAGCTATAGTGAAACTATCTGAATTTTTGGTTTCTTCTTGCTGCTTTAACTGAAAGTAGTCCATTAAGTTTGTATATTAAGCTGTCAGAATTTACTACGCCCAGTAATTGCAGTTTCGTAACAAGAAAGAATATGCTTTGTGGGTGAGGGGGACTAATCACGAATTCCCACCATAAGAGAAAAAAGAAACAAAATGATTTTATAATCTACATTACTTACAGTAATGTCCAGGATGCATAGGTGGATGGTGCTGAAGATGGCCATTCTGGTGGTGAGGTATGGTAGGTGTGTAGGCTGCCGTCCGACTTCCAGTCCAAGTTGTAGTACTATCTAGAAAAAGAAAGAAAGGAGTTATTGTTTTTTAAGGGAGTTTTTCTTCATCTTATTTCTAATCCTTTATTTCTCCTGAACATTTGGAAAGTGGTTTTAGAAAACTAAGAGTGCACATATGTATATACTCACTGTGATAAGCAGCTGGTTGAGCTGTAAACCCATTCTGCTGAGCTGCTGGCTGGGGCCCTGAAGCAATCTGTAAGAGTCCATCACTATGGCTACCTGTCAATATACTGGGAGGTTGACCTGGTAAAAAAACACACTACCTATTCATGCACGTTCTAAAATTTGAATTAAGAAGAGCTCAGCACTACTGGGTAGGAAAATACACACAACTGAGGACACTGCAATCCCCTGTTTGGTTTTGGTGCCTCCCCCCCGCCCCAAGTGTCTTGGGAATCTTCGAGCAAGATGGTTTCTATCAGCTAATTTCGACTCTAAGACATGCTTAATATTTTAGGAGTAGAAGTATGCAGAAAATTCGCACACAACTCATCTTTCAATCTGAAAAGAAAGTAGTGATGTTAAAGGTTTATTCAATAAACAGTTTTCCCAATAATTTTAAGATGCTATTGCTACTGCTCCTAATGAGGACACTCACTGAAATACGTATTCCTCCAAAACATATTGAACAGCATCTTCTTTTAACAAATAGTGCTGGAACATAGCTGCATACATCACTGAACTCCTCTCTACAAAAGCTGGGCTTTTTTTGTTTGTTTGTTTTTGTTTTCTTTGTTTTCCTTCTTCTCCCAAATAAGTGATTCAAAATGTGTCTAATGCTTAAAGTAAAGCTACCAAAATTTCAGAACAGGATAACAGAATTTGATTTTAAAAGGCTTCAGGTCAGCCATCACACTAAACCAATAGGCAGTTTCACAAGTAGATTTGCACACTCAAACTGTCTGGCTAACAGAACTTAGGATATTCAAAACTTGTATTAAAACCTAAAAACTATTTTTTTTCTTGTTCACTTGGCTCCAACAATTATAGAAACGATAAGAAAAAGTTATTGCCTTTGCACAACACTTTTTTAATCAAAAGGATTAAGCCACCTATCCCCCCCCCCCCTGGAAACAAATGCAAATTACATCTCTCAGCCTGGAAAAACTATTATTGGTTTTAACAAAAGAGTCAGCAGCTAAAATTAAAGAACACGATCTAAATATCATGCCACCATAATTTAAATTTGATAGCATGAATTCCATTATACTCACACACCTTTGATACTTAAGGGTTGCAGAGTATATGAAACCCCTCCAAACTCCATGGTTTCCTCTAATCAGGACTGCAGGACAATGCCCAAGTAACATGGGAATGCTCAAGTGTCCTGCTAAACTCAAGTGTGAGGTTTGATGCCGGTTACCTGAACTCTTCCACATGTACCAAACACACACAGAGCAGTCAGAAGGAAAAAAAAAATAAAATAAAAAAAAAATAAAGCACAAAGGAATTATGAGGATATTAATCAAGGCAGTGACTTTGGTAGCAGAGTGGGCAGTTACAAGAGGAAGCAGGTTAAACCTGGAAGACTCATTCTCCCAGCTTATAAAACACTGAAGAAAACTGTCTGTGAACCTCTCAGTATTGCCATCCTCAAATAAATCAGTTTGTCATCTCACTTGCTGTTGCAATAAAATACTGAGGTGCTCTCATTCCCACAACAATTATTCCAGTATCAGCCATATTACTTTCTGGCAGCGGTCAACAGTTGAATACTGGAGCATTGAACAGTCTAGACTGTTCAAAATGGCCTTGGACCGCTCATCATTATTAAAAAAAGGTTTATTATAGAAGGCTATTCAAATTAAGCTGCAAGTAAATCTTCATTTGAAAGCTTACAAAATTACCTAGATTGTGCTATCACTACACTGCATCAGAGTAATCTTGCAACCCTACATTTTCCCTACAAGCCCTATTTTCAGCAAGATCAGTGGTTATCTTTAACCTTGCACATATTTAAAGCTTAGTATTCAAAAAAAAAATCGCCAGCTTACTTGTTGAAGCCACAGGAATGTTGGGAAAGTTAGTGGTGCTGGTAGTGCTGGCCTCAGCAGGAGCTAACATGGCTGGGGTGCTGTAAGGCTCTGTAGATGCTCTGTTACTTGGCGGATGCTGGATGGTTTGGACTGAGTGGCCTTCAGCAGATGACAAAGACGGCTGCCCCTCGTAGTCATGAACATATTCATCTTTCACCAACATGCTTGATGGAGCTGTGAAGAAGCAAACACTTGAATATGCAAAGCAAAATTACTTGCAAGATTTAACTCTAAATTGCAATACTACTTTCAAACAGTAACAATGCTATTTAAACTACTGGGTGGGGCACTTGACCTATATAAACATTGCTAAAACAGAGAAACATCGTTTACATTATAAATAAACACTTAAAAACTAGCAGGAGGAAATTTTAAAGCATAACTGGATGGCAAACTAAAGCATTTATTTTACTTGCTGCTTTCAAACAAGCAGTTTAGCCCTAAAGTAGTACCTTCTCATCTCATTTTGTTTTTTATTCCATCAGTGCATGATTGGACGTGGATAAAAAGAGAAGAAGGGAGAACACGCTTTTTGATAAGTGCCTGAGTATATGTTAATGCAGTAACAGAACAATTCCTATTATAATAAATCAGAAAATACAAGGCATAAGCCTCCCATTAAAACAGGTAATTCATGCATATAAAAACCTTTAAACCCTTAAAAAAAATTTTAGCCATTAAGAAAAAATTTTAAGCAACTTCCATTATAATTGACCAAACCCAATAAATTCACATTAAAAGATGATAAATCACCTACTTCTCCACTGTAGCCTTTAATTCATAATATTCTACATACAAGAAATTACTACTATCATCACCACAAGAATTTATTTCTACATATTCCGTTGAGCATGTTAAACTTGCAAACTACTTTAAAATCCAAGTTCATTTTTAAAGGAGCCTTAAATATATTAAAATTTGACTATAATTTTCTATTTCCTATTGGGAAAAAAAAGCACGGCAATGAAAGACACAGGTAGTTAATTAATGGTCTTTATGTTTTGATACTCTATAAAAGATCATTTTTTCAGAAAACACTGGCAACTTATACAAAGCAGTAGATGAACACCTAAGTTAAAACTTATGACATTAGCAGTTTAAGTAGCTTTTGCTTGAACATTTTTAATAACATACAAGCAGAGGTTTACACAGATCCACTTCTCAACATATTTCCTCTACAAGAAAGCACTTCTAGTTTTGAAAAAAAGCAGTTACCAGCTGTGCAATTTCAGTGATTTCTGAACATGTCAAACAATGTCCAATTTCTCACAAGTTTTAAATATTTCCCCCATGATTTTCAGAGCGACTAATAAGATTAGACTGCTTTATTTAATTGCATGTTAATTGCAGAATTCTCATTTGCAAGTTCAACTGTTTACTTGCTAAACCACTTATTAAATAATAAGCATCTATCATTCTCAAAGCAGTTAATTAGGGTATCATACTACTATAGGTCTCTCTCCTCCCCCCCCCCCCCCCCCCCCTTTTTTTTTTTTTTTTTTTTTTTTTTTTTTTTGGTAGCAGCACTCCCCAGTGAAGTTTTTTTGATTTTCATTTTGTGAGGTTTATACATTGTAGGTGATGAAGACAGGACATTACCTATGAGCTGAATTGAAGCCTTTCCTGAAAGGATTGATCAATATATTTACCTTACGTGCACTGCTTAAAGTTTTCCAAAACTGGTGAGATAAATGTATTTTCACTTGCTTTTTATCCTCCCTCCCCCAAAGGATACATAGGTGTAAGTAAATTATTTTAAGACTCTAACACAGTTAGATTCATAGAAATGTAGAAATGTAACAGTAGACAGAACTACTTACTTGAACTCTGTAGTGTCAATCCTGAGAGATCTTTATTTAAAAAAATAAAAAAAAGAGAAGAAAAAGGAGGTATTATATAAACACAAGTGTTTAAGTGCAAGTGTTCGAACACCAAATTTATAAGCTTACACAAATCAATATTAAAGACTCCATATGCTACACCCCTGCATCGCACAGCTCTAGATGCTAAATCATCCTTAGGAAACACATTAACTATTGCAATTGCCTGTGAAGTCAATGTAAAGGCTAAAACAAAAGCTACAATCTGTTCTTTCAGATTTGGAACAAAGATATAAGAATAACTCCATTACGAAGATGGGCAAGAGAATATGAGAATAAGCTATAATTAGATCATCAAAAGTTAATGTTTCTATTTCTAATTTAAGCCTGTGTTCTCTAAGATCAAAGGAAAACATTTCTACATCTTATTCCTTTACATCAAGAATCTACTTACCGATGCCAGGTGATACTACACGCTCATAATGGTAAGGATTTACACAGACACTGTCACATTTTAAGTCAAAAGCATACTGACAATATTTAACATGCTTGAGTTCATTTTTATGAAGATCAGGCCACCTCCAAAGACGAGCGTAAATCACATGAGGGAATCCCTTGCGACCAGCCACCTAAAAAGTCAGACGCAAAAGTTGATTGGGAAAATACAAAGAATCTTCCCTTTATTTAGTACGGAGCAAAGCTAGAAGGAGAGAGAAAAAAAAAAAACCCACAACTTTTCTCCATCATCAAAATATAAATAAAAAAAAATGGTACATTTTACTGAAGATTTGTAGTTGATGGAAATAAGTTTAGATTAGGGTTTTGCTATGGTTAAGTCAACACTGTGATTCCAGAAAATTTACTGGATACAAAATGGCAGAAGCAGAATGTTCACCTCCTCCACCATGGATGATGTGAAACAACAGTTCCCAGTGTTCTCCAGTTTCCAAAGCACCTATGCATTTCCTAACTCCAAATGCTTTTAAGAGCTACATAAAAAAAAAAAAAAAAAAAAAAAAAAAAAGTTTCTAGGGTAGACAGAAAGCTATCCAGCAAACATGTCATCTGTCCTGGCACAAAGACATCACAACCTAAGCTATATAGCCCCAATGACATAGACTAACATGAATCCTCCGTGCAGAGCCCTTGTAGGGTCTCAGCAAGGGATCGTGGGTCTTGACACTGCTGACCAACACAGAGCTACCAGAAGCTGGTAGTGAAAATAACAGGAGAGACAACTGATTTTGTTATGTGAACCTGCTTTTTACTGCCACACACACGCTCATTTGGAATGGCCGATTCAAGGCCTTCTGCTCCTTTTGAAGGAGAAAAGGAGGGGGGGGGGGGGAAAGAAGGGGGGGGAAAAAAAA